AGGGGGGAGTCGGGGTAGAAAAGCAGAAATAGCCCCACTTTTGGGGTTCCTTTCCTCCTACCTCACCCCGGCGGGAACAGCTCTGAGCTGGTTCCTGCCACCCACACCCTTTCTGCCCCGTCCTGGGGGAGCTGATGAGGCACAGAGGGTGCTGCCTGCCCCAAACAGGGGTCCCGGCACGGGGGTCTGGTTTGTCCTCGCTGCGGTGGCACCAGGTGGGGTCCGTGCTTGTCCCCCTCCCCGGAGAAGGCACCGAGGGAAACGGTGCCACCCATCGGCTGGGGCAGCAGCAAAGGAATATCTGGATTTTCCCTCCCCGTGCTAGGAACTGAGGCTGCCTCCGATGAGGGGCGACCCTCTCCATGTCCCCTTGTCCCCCAAACCCCGGGCAGCGGCAACCCGACCCTTCTCCCCGCCAGGCCGCAGAGCTTTTCCGGCCGGCACGCAGGGGGTTAAAGCATCCCCGTCTCCCTCACACTTGAGACGTCACCGTCACCGGTGGCGTGGGGGGGCCGGGGGGCTATGGTGGTCTTTGTGGTGCATTCGGCAGCTGGCGCAGGGCGGCTCACGCACACGGCGGGCGGCTCGTCCCCGCAGCCCCGGCGGCTCCCTCACCCTCCCGGCCGCCACCGCCTGCCCACGCCGCGGGCTCCCAGCGCCACGGTGAGCGCCGGCCGCCACGGCCACGGGGACGGGGCTGCCACCAGGCCTGAGGGCAGGGCGAGGGGTGCCTCCCGGGGCTGGCACCCCCGCTCGGCACCCCCGGCCCGGCGCTGGGCAGGAGCGGGGGTGCTGGGGTGGGCCCCCCCCCCCGGCCACACTCGAGGGGGGTTCAGCCCCGTGGGGGGCTCACAGATCCCTCCGGTCAGGGAGATCCCCGAAGAGCGGGGGGTCACGGCGCCGAGGAGCCCCAACTCCACCCTGCTCAGGGCTGGGGGTGCCGCGGCTGATCCCGGGGTGGGATCTGGCCCCGGCAGCCCAATTCCCGGGATAAGCTGTGCCCCCCATGGAAAATCCTTCAGGCACCACTCGCCCGACCCTGCGGCGGCTGCGGCGGTGCCATGGGCGGGGGGCAGCGGCCGGGGGGGCTCGGCGGCGGCGGGGGGCACCCAGCGGGCACCCGGCGGGCGGGGGGCTGCGGGGAGCGGGACCAGGTCAAGGGGAAGGGGCAGGCAGCCCCCGGCCGGGGCTGCGGCGCTGCACCAGGCTGCGGTGCCCAGGGCGATGCTGCGCCGGCAGCAGAGGGACACAGCCCCAAAACGGTGACACGGGGTGGCCTGAGCCCGGGGACATCGCTGCCGGCTCCGGGGAGGGATGCTCCTGGATGCAGGATTTGGTCCCGCCTGGAGCAGGAGAGGGGGTTCACCCCCATCGGCTGGGTTGTCCCCATGGAGGTGACACCAGCCGTGGGTCCCCGTGGGGCAGGATGCCCGTGGGGAGCAGGGAGAGGCGGCGCTGCGGGAAGAGGGGCAGGTTCTGGAGCAGGGCTGGGGTGCAACGAGGCCACCGCAGGGAGGGACAGAAGCCGGGGCCACCTCGGGTGTGGCTGGGAACAGGGAGCCGGCTGTTCCCAGCCCTCGTGTGGCAGCACGTTCCTCTGTGAGCGCTGCCGGTTTGGGGGTGACTCCCCCAGCGGATTTGGGGCTCAGTTCAGCAGTGGGCAGCCTGCACTGGGGGGAGCCCCTCGCCCTCCCCCACAGCCCCCCTGAGAGGGATGTGCCATGTTCCCCCAAGCCAAGTGCCACCGGGGGGTTTAAGCTCCTGAGACTAAGGAAAAGGTGTAAAACAGGGGCTGAACCCCAAACAGAGCCCCTCTTACCCCAGCCCAAGGGGCTGCAGCAACCCCCAAACCAGCCCCTGGCACCAAACCCCTGCACCACGGCTCTGGAGTCACCCCGGGGTATCTTCACACTGGGGACCCATCCGTGCCCCTTCCCTGGGCACCGGCAGAGTTCAGCAGTGACAAATCCCAGCTCCAAGCTGCCCGTCAAGGACAACGGTGGCACGGGCACGAGGACGCCCGCACGCCGGTCACAGCCTGTGTGCCAGAACCAGAGCAGGGCAGGGGCCAATCTCCCACCCCACCGGCTGCCCTGGCACCCAGGGACACCCCCTGGCACCTCAGAGACCCCCCCAGCACCCCAGGGACACTCCAGCACCCTTTCAAAACACCCCTGTGCTCAGCAGGATGAACCTCGGGGTCACTGCACCAGAGCAGCTCTGGGTGTGTTTGGTGTACCCCAGTTACCCCAAAAACCAGCTGCATTTCAGGCTTGTGCAGCCCCAGTGCAAAGCCACCACTCAGTGGGCCTGGGAGGAGGAGGAGGATGAGGATGAGGAAGGCAGAGCCATCGCTGTTGATGCCAAGGGTTTGTGCTGGGGCTGAGTGGGGAGCACTGGGCTGGGGGGAGCACAGCCCCATTGCAAGCAAGAGGCCACCCCATCCCTCCCCTGCTGCTCCAGCTCTCCCTCTCCCCTTCCCCAGCCTCATTAATTAAACCCAAGCGCTTAATTACAACCTGCTGAGCCCCGTGGCTGCTTCCCGGTGCCTGCTGACACCGTGGGGCCAATCCCGACCCCCCCACATCCCTGTAGGAAGGGTGGGATGCAGGGAACTGGGGGAGCACCCGGTTGCCTGCAGGATTTGGGTTGTGGCTGGTCGGCGGCACGAAGGGATCTTCACAGAGTGCTCAGGAAAGAGCAAACCCAACCACTGGAGCTGGCAAAGCCATCCCTGGGGATCTTGGCCTCTCCGAGGAGGGATGGGGACAGATGGCTCCACTCTGGGGTTATCCCCGAGCTGCTGGCAGGTGCCACAAGGGGTGAGGAGGGACGGGGATGCTCAGCCCGATGCACACTGAGCTCCCGGTGGCAGTAAAAAGTAAACAAGGTAAATGAGGTGAAGGCTGGTGGCAGCATGAGATGGAGGGGAGAAGCAGTGTCCCACCGTGCTTCCCCTCCTGGTCACCCACCCACAGAGTCCCCAGTGGGGTGCCCTGACCCTCCTGCCCTCCTGCCCACAGCTCCCTGCCGGCCCATGAAGTGACGCAGGCGGGTGGCACAGCCCCTGCTCCTGCCATAGCCACTGCTGCCACACCAGGCACTGAGGTAAGGACCAAGGGCACGGCTGTGGGGTGGGTGGGATGCTCTGGCACAGGCACCAGACCCCCAAATTGCATCTGTGGGGTGTAATTCCCACTGGGGTCTTCCCCTGTCCATGGGGAATGCCCAGCCCCATAACCCAGGGGAATGCATGACACCATGGGGGTCACCTGGGGCTGCCCCCCATCCCTTGGGGATGCCAGGGCTGGGGAACTGGGAGGTCTCAGGGGTGGCAGCATGGCCAGGGGTGCCCCAGGAGCACAAGGCTCCCAAACCCTCACCCCTCTTCCCTTCCCTCTGGAGCTGTCAGAAGTGCAGGGAGAGCTGTTACATTCCCAGGGAATGCTCACAGCGGCGTGCCCAGCCAGGAGGGATTGGGGTGGGCACAGGAAGGTGACGTGGTGGTGGCCCTTGGGGGCTCGGGGGTGCCAGGGTGGTGGCCCCTGGGGGTTCAGGGGTGCCAGGGTGTCCAGCTGGTGGCACCGATGCTGTTCCACTCTGCTCTGTTTCTCTCACTCAGGTCTGCTGGCCATGGGCAACCTGATAAAGGTATTGGGCAAAGATTTAGAAAACTGTCCTCATTTTTTCCTGGATTTTGAAAGTAAGTCCCATGAGCAGGGTGGGCATGGGGAGGGCACCAGGGCTGCCACCGCAGCTGCTGTCCAGAGGATGGGGACAGGCACAGTGTCCCCGAGCAGCCCCGTGTCCCCAGGTGCTTTGGGGCCCTGAAAAAGTCTCCAAAATGGGGCAAAGGAACAGGATCCCAGGAGAAGCCCCATCCCTCAGAGTGGGGCAGATGTCCTGGCAGAGTGGTGGGATGCAGGATGCAGGACCTGGCCCGGGACCACCTCAGGCACACACCCGCTGCTGTTAGCTGCTGGCACTGGTGGCCGTGTGGCATGTCCCGTGACGCCGCCAGGACAGGGACAGCCTGCAGGCCGGGAAAGGAGGAGGGAGTGATCCGTGCCACCTGCACTGCTGGGAAGGTCAGTGCGGTGGCTGCAGCCTGCGCCGAGGGATGGGGAGCAGGGACCTGCCTCAGCTTCCCCTGGGTCTGGGCTGAGGGCCAGGAAAGGACAGCTCTCGGCCCCCCAGGCTGGACACGGGGGGACACAGGACACGGTGGCCGCTGTGGCAGGATGCCAGGCCGGGCACAGCCCCAGGGCTCCCCTGGCTCCCCCTCCTGCCGTTCCTCCCAGGGCACAGCTCAGAGCAGGAGTGGGGAGGGTGAAAAGAGTGCAGTGGCCTCTGCTTGCCCCAGCCCCGGCCCCAGCTCCATCCCCAGCGGGCACAAGCCGTGCAACGGGGGGACACAGGACACGGTGGCCGCTGTGGCAGGATGCCAGGCCGGGCACAGCCCCAGGGCTCCCCTGGCTCCCCCTCCTGCCGTTCCTCCCAGGGCACAGCTCAGAGCAGGAGTGGGGAGGGTGAAAAGAGTGCAGCGGCCTCTGCTCGCCCCAGCCCCAGCCCCCCACACCACCTCTGACTCTGGCACCCCCCAAAATACCCAGGGCTGGGGTCACACAGCCCCCCACTCACACAGCGAGGAACCTTCCTGCTCCTCCTGGCTCCTTTGAGGCAGCACAAATTCTCCTGCCTCCAGCCCCCTCCACAGCTCTGGGGGCTCCCCAGGACCCCCCATTTCGGGGCTGGCTCTAGAGTAGGGGTTTGGCTGTAGCCAGCACTCCGGAGACTTCAGGGATTTCCCGGCAGCTTCTCCTCCCTTCACTCCTCCCTCTCCATCACCCCATCGCCAGCGCTCATCACCATCGGGGGGGAAGAGGCTGCACCCGGGGCCGGGAGCAGCCGCGGGGTCACCCCCGGAGCCCCCCGAGCCCCCGGGGAGCAGCGGGAGGAGGACCCCCGCAGCCCAGCACCTCTTCCCCGGGCTCCACCTCACCATCATGCTTTTTTCCTCTTGTTTCTTCTCTTGCAGGTTTCACATGGGGAACCTTCTAAAAGTGTTGACTTATAACGAACTTGACCAAGGCCCTAATTTTTTCCTTGACTTTGAAAGTGAGATGGGATTTTTATTTTCCGTTTTCGTTTCGTACTTATCCTGAGTTCCACATCAACACCATTTTGAGTTCTTTGTCCCCCTCGCCCATCGCATCGCGCCCATCCCAGACGTCCTCCCCCAACCTGTGCCATCCGGGGGTGTCCCCGGGGAGGGGGGCCAGACCCGTGGCCGGGGGCTGTCGCTCCGCACCTCTCCCCCCCGGGGCACTTCGCAGCCTCTTGGGGCCGGGGGCTGCTCGGGGACCCCTCGCGGTGAGCAGGACCGCGGGCACAGGGCAGCCAGGACTCACCCCCACCCGCCCCCCGCTCCACGGCTTGACCTGAGCTCGGGCAAGGAGAACGGAGCTAGGGGCACAGTCCGGCCAGGAAGGGCTGCGGAGCCGTGCCTTGGGGTGCTGGCACCCCGCTCTGGCTCCGGCCGGCCCGGGCCCCGCTCAGAGCCCTCCGGGTTTCTCTCCCCGGGGCGCTGCCCTGCAGATGCGCAGCCCACGGAGGCCGAGACGGCGGTGTGGAACCAGGTGAACGCCGTGCTGGAGGAGGCGCAGAGCGTCCTGGCCGAGCTGCAGTCCTACACGGGAGCCGGGCAGGAGATCCGAGAGGTGGGTGCAGCCCCGGAGCCCCCTGCCCGCACACCCTCCGTGGCTTGGGGCAAGCGCTGGAGATCTCCCCCCCGCCCCCAGGCCATCCAAAACCCCGGGGACCTGCGGCTGCAGGAGCGCGCCTGGAGCGCCGTGTGCCCCCTGGTCGCCAAGCTGAAACGCTTCTACGAGTTCTCCCTGCGGCTGGGTGAGTGTTTGAGCTGCCCTGTGTCCCCCTCTGTCCATCCCGCATCCCCCCCGGAGGCGGCGGGAGTCCTGTCCGTGGAGTTCGTGCTCAGCTGGGGATGCCGCGCCGTGCCTCAGTTTCCCCTCGGGGGTGTGGAGGTGCAGAGGGGGACCGGGAGTGCTCTGTCCCCAGAGAACGCCCTGCGGAGCCTGCTGGAGGCCCTCACCAGCCCCCCCTACGCCCCGACCCAGCACCTGGAGCGGGAGCAAGCCCTGGCCAAGCAGTTCGCCGAGATCCTGCACTTCACCCTCAGCTTCGACGAGCTCAAGGTGCCTCCCTGTGCGGGGTGACAGCGAGGGGGGTCCCCACACCGGCACCCTGAGAGCCGGCAGAGTCCCTGCGGACCCCTAACCCTGGTGTCCCCCCCTCAGATGACCAACCCTGCCATCCAGAACGACTTCAGCTACTACAGACGGACCATCAGCCGGAATCGCATCAACAACCTGCAGGTGGGAGGGCTCTGCTGTTCCCCCGGCCAGGGGGGGCTCCCCAGGGGTCCACAGGGCTGGGAATGGCTTGTGGGGGGGTCTCAGCCACCCCAGTGACCCCCATCTCACCCCCCCAGCTGGATGCAGAGAGCGAGGTGAACAACGAGATGGCCAACAGGATGTCCCTGTTCTACGCCGAGGCCACCCCCATGCTGAAAACCCTCAGCAATGCCACCACCAAGTTCGTGTCAGAGGTGAGGGGGGCTGGGGGCACCCTCAGGGTGGGCAGAAACCCCCTCCAGCCACCACACATGGGGGAAACAGCAGCTGGGACCTGTTGGCTTTCAGAACAAGACCCTCCCGATCGAGGACACCACCGACTGCCTGAGCACCATGGCCTGCGTGTGCAGGGTGATGCTGGAGACCCCGTGAGTGCCCCACTTTGGGGTCTGGGGGGACATCTCGGCCCTGGGGTCCCTCTGCCACCCCTTTCCCAGGCTCAGGCAGCCTCTCTCCTGGCTCAGGGAGTACCGGAGCCGCTTCACCAACACCGAGACCCTGCTCTTCTGCATGAGGGTGATGGTGGGCGTCATCATCCTCTACGACCACGTCCACCCCGTGGGGGCTTTCGCCAAGACCTCCAAGATCGACGTGAGTGGTCTTGGGGTGGCAGCCACGCCACAGCAGCTGTGATCCCTGGGGTCCCTCTGCCTGGCTTGAGGATGGGGAGGGAGGGGGATGCCAGGGGTATCACAGCCCCTCTCTGTGCCCCCATCAGATGAAAGGCTGCATTAAAGTGTTGAAAGACCAACCCTCCACCAGCACCGAGGGGCTCCTGAATGCTCTGAGGTGAGGTGGGGGCTTGGGGACACGGCTGTGGGGGTGACAGCAGGGGCTTGGGGACACGGCTGCGGGGGTGACAGCGGGGGCTTGGGGACACGGCTGCGGGGGTGACAGCGGGGGCTTGGGGACACGGCTGCGGGGGTGACAGCGGAGCGGCTGGCGGGCTGTGACCCGTGTCCCCTCCCCGCCCAGGTACACCACTCGGCACCTGAACGACGACACCACGTCCAAACAGATCCGGGCCCTGCTGCAGTGAGCGCGGGGCGGCCGCAGCCACCGTGTCACCATGACCATACAGCTCATCTTGTACAGAGGGAAAAGGGACGGCGAGGAATACGCAGAAATACTGAGAACAAATCGAAACGGGCCCGGGCTGCCCTCCCCCACCACGAGCTCCTGCCCCCCCCTCCTTTCCCACCCCCCAAATCAGCACCTGCTCCTGGACATGAGGGGTGGGTGGCACCGTGGGGACACCAGGGGTGTCTGGGGGGCCAGGGCCGGGCAGGAGAGACCCGGGCAAGGGAAGTGCTGGTGGGGCTGGCAGCACGGGGGCACCTTGAGGAGGGGGCAGGTGGTACCCCTGTCCCCATCCTGGTCCCCAAGCAGAGGATGAGGAGGAGGAGGAGGAGGAGGAAGAAGTCTCCCTGTGGATCTGCACTGACTCTGGAGGAAACGGCTCAGTCTCACCTGGTAGATTTTTAATATGAGCAATTAAATCCACACTCACCTCTTCTTTTCTACATTTTTTTTTTTTTTTGGGGTGTGAAATAAAATGACATTTAATCTGTTCGTGGCCGGAGCGGGGCCGTCTCTCTGTGTCCCATCCCACGCCACCCCACGGACCGTGTCCCCTCTCCGTGACACCCTGCGGGACAAATGCCACCTCCCACAGTGACCGGGAGGGACAACAGCCCAGGTGCCCCCCCGAGCCAGCCCAGCCCATCCTCCTCTTTCCCCAGTGCAGCTGCAGACTGGGAGGACTGGAGCTGCTGCTGGAGGCCGCTGCTGGCTGCCAGGGCCGGTGGCTTTGCCGGCAGATGGCCCTGTGACACCGCGACAGCGCAGCCACGCTGGCCCCACCCGTGCCAAGCCAGCCCCACCCGTGCCAAGCCAGCCCCTGGGGCACCCATTCTGCCTCGCACCCCCCGAGCTGGGCGAGACCCCCGCAGGGCAGGACCCCCTGCCAGCCCCTGGGCTGTGTCACTCCCCCCAGGGGACCCCCAGGGCTGTCCTCAGGGTGGCTCAGGGTCCCCTGGGTTTGGTGTCCTGCCAGCCCGCTCCTTCCCGCCGCCTTTCCCGCCGGGCACACGGCAGCTGCGGGCACCGTGACCCGCCCTGTGCCCTGCCCGTCCCGGGGGGTGACAATGGCCACCCCACGGGTGACACCATACACCCAGAGCCTCGTGCCAGGCGGTTCTGGCAGGTTGTGCCTCAGTTTCCCCGCTGCCCCCTGCGTGTGCTGGGGGCACATGGGCACTGTCCCCACGGCTCCCCGAGATGGGATTCCTCAGGGTGGCACCCATCCCACCCCCCTGCAGCATCCAAACCTCCATGGACCCCCTCCCCAGACCCAGGGCTGCCCAGAGGGGACAGAGAGGGGGGGACATTTCCTGGGCCCGGTGCCAGGACAGCCCCCAGCCCTTTGGATCCTGGCATTTCCTGGGTCCTGTGCCAGGACAGCCCCCAGCCCTTTGCATCCTGGCATTTCCTGGGTCCTGTGCCAGGTCCTGCCGTGCCCAGCCGGGTTTTTGCCGCCGAATGCGCCGAACTCCCGCGCGGGGCGGGACGGGGACACGCTCTTGCAAAACCCCGGCCAACAGCTCCTTTTATTTTTAGGCTCTTGCAACATTTGGCTTTGCCACAGCCAGCTGAAATGCTGCCAAGGCATCGGATGGGCCACAGGCTCCCCAGAGCCCTGCCCTGCTCCCGAGCGGCTCCACGCCCCAGCCGTGCCTCAGTTTCCCCGTGAGCTCCTTTGAGCCGCTGGCCCTGTGGTGGCAGCGGTGCCAGCCAGCCCTGCTGAGCCCAAAGGGACCCCGAGGGCCCCCTTGAATCCCCCCGGTGCTCCACAGCACGAGGATCCCACCCGGGAGCTGAGGACGGGGCCAGGACACGGCTCTGCGGTGGCCGCAGCTGCTGCGTGTCTGCAGGAGCTGATGTCCCCAAGTGACACCAGCCCCCAGACGGTCCCTGGCCCGTCCAAGGAGTGTCCCTGCAGTGTGGGAACTGGGTTGGGAAGAGGCAGGACAGCGTCACCAGCCGGGACTCTCCACCAGGAGTCAAGGGACAGGCGGATCCTTTAAAGCCACCAGTGAGCGCGGGCACAGACACCAGCTGGTCACCGGTGCTGGGAGAGGTGGCAGCTGTGTCCCGGTGTCCCAGTGCCTGTCAGGTCCTGGCACAGAGCCCATTACATCCCCCCTGTGGTGCCCCTCACTTGTCAGGGGAGGGATGAGGCCAAATTTGTGCCATATCCCAGCTCTGACTGTCCTCAGTGTGGCACTTCTCAGGGCAGAGCAGGTGGCACGTGCCACCCTGGCAAAGGGCAGCATTGCGCGGATGAGACCTTTCCTATCAGAGCTTTCAGACCCAAAACCGGGTGGGAAAAGGGAACCAAAAGGGATGTACAACTCTGATCATCAGACACATCCGAGCCCAGAGCTCTGGGGACAGTGCCACCCATGTGGGCAGCAGTCAGGGCTGGAGCCCTGGCAGGGGCAGCACACAGCAGATGCAGACCAGGAGGTGCTGCCCGTGCACCTCTCGCTGCTGGACACGAGGATTTGGGCTGCCACAGAGCCAGGGGGACACCTGGATGTGCCCCTTGTCCCCCTGGATGTGCCCCTGGTCCCCCTGGACGTGCCCCTGGTCCCCCTGGATGTGCCCCTGGTCCCCCTGGATGTGCCCCTGGTCCCCTGGACGTGCTCCTGGTCCCCCTGGATGTGCCCCTGGTCCCCCTGGATGTGCCCCTGGTCCCCCTGGATGTGCCTCTGGTCCCCCTGGCACCCAGCCCTGCCAGCAGCCTGGGGCAGCAGCACACCAGCACCGTGTCCTAATGCCAGTGTCCCAGCGAGGGGACTGCCTGGGGACAGGCAGTGCCACCAGGATGGTGTCCAGCCAGCAAGGACAAGCAGCTCCCCCAGCTCAGGCTCTCAGCTCCGTGCTCAGCCAGACCAGGGTGCCGAGGACTTTAATTGATGGCGAGCCAAGCCACGCCGGGCCTGTTTTCTAATCCCAGTGTAATTAATGACCTTATCTTTGGCCAAAGCCATTTAGATTAAGTGGCTGGTGTGATGGGCTCGGCGGCTCCGGCTGCACAGATGGAAGGGCCGCGTTTGTCTGGGGATTAGAGGAGGGCAGATGGAGTGAAGTGCCATTCCCCATCCCCAAACCTCCCGGCCCTGACAGCAGCCTGAAACCTGAGACCACAACAACTTTCTCAGAGAGCCCTGGCTGGGACTGGCGAACGATTCCTGCATTGTTTGTCCTTTCTGCAGGGCCCAGAGCAGCAGGAGCTGCTGCCAGCACCAGGAACTGGTGTGACCCTGCCAGGAGCTCGATGCCAGTCCCTGCCTGGAGACCTTCAAACAGCAGAGGAACACGCACCGAGATTGACCTCCCTTGGAGAGCAACCCCCGGCAGGAATGCTGCCCTGGCTCTGCCCAAATAAACTGTTATCAGTGGCAGCCCCCAGATCTCCAAGGAAGAAAACCCACCTGTATAGTGGTGCTGTGTTCTCCCTCCACTTCCCTCCACTGCATGGATAAGGAAGTGTGGCACACCCTGCTCACCTGGAACACCTGGGAACCAAGGGGGAAAAGGCCTGGGAGCTCCTGCCCCCCCTGCTCAGCACAGCCCATCCCAAAGAGGCTCCTGAAGAGAACAGGCTACTGTGGAAGAGGAATAACATGAATCCGTGGAGATAACAAAGTTCATATTAAACCGATTAAGGATATTTAATCCACCTCTAACAGTATGGACATCTGACTGCACTCAGGAGCAGATAATCCCAGCCCTCCTTCCCAGTGCTGCCCCAGTGATCCCAGCCTGGCCTGGGGAGATGACTCAACATCTCAGAGCTGTCTGTCACAAACCAGCTCAGCACACAGGGCTTCACTCCCAGCTCACACTTCAGGCTGGGAGAACACAATTCCATGCCACGACCTCGTGGCCATGTGTTCCAGCACTGGGCTGAGCCCACATCCATGGGTTGAGTCAGCATGGATGGCAAACAAGTCTGGGCTGGAGCAGAGGCTCAGCTGGCACTGCACAGACCCAGCAACACCGCAGTGCCCAGCATTCCAAAGCTGGTGCCCAGCTCTGCCCAGTGCCAAATTCCCAGCTCTTCCCCTTCCCACAGCCCGAGGCAGCTGCCCCACGGGGCACTACAGGAATAATTCCACGCTGAGGAACACAAACTGGAGGTTTAACCTAATCCCCACCAAAGCAGGAATCTCCAGAGCCCGCGCCGGCAAATCCACCCACGCAGCTCTTCCCTGGCAGGATGAGCCCTGGCTCTTGCCACATGGCACAGCACGAGGAAAAACCTTGTGCTCTACCAACCCTCAAACCCTCCTAGCTTTCAATCTGCCAGGAGAATCCCAAAGGCTGTCCTGGTTTCACCAGAGCGGCATTCCAGGCACAAATGGCACTCACATCCTCTAGGAACAATGGGACACCAACTGCCTGGCAGCCACAGCACCAGGAATTTGCTGCTCAGTAGCCTGGATTCAAATTCGGGGCCAGTTCCCAGTGCCAAACCACAGTGTAAACCCCCGGGAATTCTGCCTTAACTAGGACAGGCTCATCTGTTGCAAACTCGATGAGATCATTTCCAAGTTCCTGTTTAACAGGTGCCAGCTCCTCCTGCACCTGCTGTGTGCACAGGGCTCCCTGCCCCCACCAGGCTGGGAACATCTGCTCAGCTCCCTCAGGAAAAGGTGGAAAAGGTGACTGGGAGAAGGAACCAGATCTCCTGCCCTGTGCCCAGAGCAGGGAACCGGGGCCAGGTAGAATCAGAGAGCAAGGAAACCGCGCTTGTTAACAGGGAGGGGAACCCACAATAATCCTGCAACTTTATTTGCATGTAAAAGAACAAAAAAAATAAAAATCCTCTCCACAATAAAGGCAGGCAGAGCTCGCTCAGCTCCAGAGCTGCACCCCAGGCCAAGCTGGAGGAGTCGGGGTATTTCTGTCTCTGAGATCCACACAACCACATCCCAGCAGCTCAGCCATCCCAAGGATGCAGCTCTGGCAGGAATTCACACTTTGCATGGGAGGAGGCTCCCAGCAGCCTTGCCCCGGGGCCCAGCCCGTTCCAGGCAGGGCTGGGGGAGCATGGGAACACAGCGGGATGAGGCCACATGAAGAGG